GATACCTCAGATAAGGATTTGATCTCCAAAATATGTAAAAAACTCACACGACTCCACTCTAAGACAAGCAACCCAATTAAAAAATGGGCAAAGGACTTGAACAGACACTTCTCTAAAGGGGACATACAGAGGGTCCAGAGACATATGAAAAGATGTTCAGTATGGCTGAACAGTATGGGTGTTCAGAGACTGTATGGCTGTCTCTGAACAGCCATACTGAACATCTTGCATCAGATGCAAGATGCATCAGATTTGCATCAGAGAGATGCAAATTAAAACCACAATGAGATACCACTTCACACCAGTGAGAATGGCCATCATAAAGAAAGCAACAAACAACTGTTGGAGCATCATGGAGAAAAGGGAACCCTAGTGTACTTTTGGTGGAATTGCAGACTGGTGCAACCACTATAGAAAACAGTATGGAATTTCCTCAGAAAACTAAAAATGGAACTGCCTTTTGACCCCGTAATTCCACTGCTAGGATTATATCCTAAGAACCCTGAAACACCAATCCAAAAGAACCTACACACTCCAATATTTATAGCAGCACAATGTACAATAGGCAAATGCTGGAAGCAATCTAGGTGCCTATCAGTAAATGAATGGATCAAAAAACTATGGTACATTTACTCAATGGAATACTATGCAGCAGAAAGAAAGCAGGAGCTTCTGTCCTTTGGGACAGCATGGGTAAAACTGGAGAGCATTGTGCTAAGTGAAATAAGCCAGGCAGTGAGAGACAAATACCATATGATCTCACCTTTAACTGGAATATAATCGACAAAGAAAAAAGCAAGCAAAATATAACCAGAGACACTGAAAAGTAAGAACCAGAGGGAAGATGGGAGGGGATAATGGGGGGAAAGGCTTTGAGGAACTAGTATAAAGGACACATGGACAAAACAAACGGGATGTGAAATCAGGGGAGGGAGGTGGAGACAGCTGGGGTGGCAGCGGTGAGTTAGGGGAAAATGCAGACAACTGTACTTGAACAAGTATAAGATAATTTTTTTAAAAAAGAATTAGAAATTCTAGGAAGAATATAGCCCAAGGTGCTTGGCAGGAACTGTAACCGTCAATTGAATCCTTCCTAAAAGCACTGCTCTTCTGCACAGGGAGAAGTTATTGGCTCTCTGCTGCTTCCTATGTGATGCAATGAAACCTCCTCTATGTCTAAAACCTTTTGGAATCAGCTATCCAGAAGTAGTATCTATTTATACACAAAGGGAATGTTGGTGCTAGTCAGTCAAAGCCATTGTCCGGTGAATCATAGAGTAGGAACCAAAATCAGATTTGCTGTGTTCTATGGACTCCAGCACTGTCTGAGTGAGCCTAGTGGTTAATGACAGAGGCCCAGGCAGACTGCCCAGGTTAAGTTCTGCTTTCCACTAACAACTTGGTAACTTTGGCCATGTTTTCATCTCTAAACCTCCCTTTCTTCATTTATAAAACTGGGATAAAAATAGCCCTCACTTCACAGAGTAACTGTAAGGATTAGTAAACACTAAGCAAAATGCCTGTTTTAGTTAGAGCTTGGTGAGTATCACACTCTACCAGCAGTGAAAGTAACCACTTGTTCTGGCTAAGATTGCTCCTCTTTGACCTATGAAGGGGAGAAGAGGAGTGATGGAGCCTAGTGGAGGAAGAGAATCTGCAGTTCTGAATGAGAACTTTGTTTCTGACTCATCCTCTAGGGGCAGCTCCCTACTGTGGCTCCAATGCCCAGAGACTCCATTAGGCAATTCTTTATTACCAAGACAGCAAACAAAATGCTGAGTAGGTTCACTCTTTGACACCCTACAGTTGTGCTTTAACTGTGGAGGCGAGACAATGGAGCTAGAATTTCATATGGAACCAACCATGCTCTTCTTTGGACTGGCCCAGCAGTTAATGCAGATGTATTCATAAACAATGACAAGGGTGAGGAGAGAATGTGCCCTCTGCTGTGATTTGCAGGAATCAGATATGAGAGAAAGCCAAAGAGGAAGTTTTCTGTGGAGAAGATGCCAAAGAAGCCCTTCTGAGTGAATCTGCTATGCAAGACAACATCAATTATCAAATCTCAAGACTGACTGTGATGGGGTACACACTGTCGTCAACCTTTGCTAAAGTTCTAACTACACATGGGCCACCCTTTCCATGCTGGGTCTAACTGATAGAGTCTGGCCCAGTTATACAACACTCCACTACCCAGGGACATAACTCTTTCTAAGTAGGTGCCACAATTCAAAATCTCTCGTCTTAGAATAAAGAATATTTCAGATTATCTTAATTTTCTTTGGGCCCCAAAAGCAAAAAGCCAGGTATAGAGAATTGAGAGCTACCAAACAAAGCATTCCAGGACTCAAATGTGCTCAGAAGTCTCCCAGCCCAACTGGGCCATGGTTTCCATGACAACCAATACATGAATAAGGGTTTGGTGTTAATGGCCATATTCTACAGGACATGATATAACTTTTTAGTCTTGATATTTCCAAGGGAGTTCTTTATATTTGACCTTGAAGAACACTGTTTTCTGGTTATAAAATCCAGAACAGAGTGGTTACAAGCTTGATTTCTTAGACAAAGACCTATATTTTAATGAATATTTTCAGTCTTCATCTATTATTCAGATTTTATCTTCCCTACATGTGAAAAAAAAACCTTCAACCTTCTTCATGTTTCTTCCCACCAGCGACTTTTAATGAAGAAGCCTAAGGGAAGGGTTTTATTAGTCAGAACAGAAACATAGAAATAATATGTTTGTAGACATGTAGGACTTAATAAAATGTAGATTTTAACAAATGATTAAAAGCCTGTAATATTCTGCTTCCCCAGGGTTCATCAGAGGTGGACTTCAGGGACCCAAAACATAGGTTGTATCAGTAGTTTGGGGAATCATGGTGACAGGATCTTAAACTGCATGCTTGTGGTTAGTATTCTGGAAGCTAGTGGGAAGGTTATAGGGACACTGTCTGCTTTCCATGTACCCTGGATTTCACAATCATCATCTTATCTCGCCCTCACAGTCTCCCAGCAAAGTGTTATTGATTATACTTTACAGATGAGAAACTGAAGTTCAGTAATACTTAGTAATTTGCTCAAGGACACCCAGCTAATAAACAATGGATCCAGGGCTTAAGCCCTGCTGACATCAACTTGAAAGCCCACACATGGACCATTAATGCCTCAATCACTAGTACAAGGCCTGGGACACAGGAATCAGTATCAAAGTCCACTTGTAATATGAACCACATGATACCCATGGGATTGCAAGCTCAGATGCCTATAGGGTCAAATAACATAAATGAGTAAGGTACATGGGGTAAAAGATATTAGGGGGTAGGGGACTGGGGTAAAATAAAAGACTAAGACCATTTTCTGTCTGAAAGGGGTGCCTCTAAACATATCCATACAACTGCTGGCATTATAGCTATCAAAATTTTCAAGAAACTGGAAATCTGATTTTCAAGTGAAAGATTTTCATTTTGAAAAAATGGCCAGTAACCCCTGGCTTCATTTTTACCCCCTATAAGCCAAAAAAAATGCATTCTGGATGCTATTCAATATTCTTTGCTTTTGGACTGAACTGCTATAAGGGTAAAACCTTTGTCTTCTTCACTCTTATAGACCCAGGCCCTAGAACAGAGTAAAAAGCTTAATAAATTTTTATACAAGTGAATAAATTCTCAGATCAACACTCTGGAAAGAGGTGAAGTATAGAGCCCTGGCTCTCAGATGCAGAATACTTTCATCAGAGCCAGGCCTCCCAGGTTAGTGGGAAAGATACAAAATAGCAGATGGACCCATAAATATTCCCCGTGAATTTCAGTCAGGGTGGGAGGCAGCTCACATCTTTCCTTTGGGAAGCACAAAGTTGATCTGAGAACAGCATGAGACTGAGCTAGCTCCCAAATACTGGGACTGTCAGGGGAGGAGGCTAGAAATAAAAAACCTGAACCATGTCTCCTAGCCTAGTTCTTCTTTTCCAGTATATTCCCTATGTTCCAGTTATCCAGTCTGTGCAATGGAATGAATGGGGTATACAAGTCCAAATCATGAAGGAAAATAATGACTTAATGAGCAATAAGTTATTTGGCATTTTTTACAGAAAAACATGCCTAAGTATTTAATGCCTCTTATAAATATGATCCCAAGAAGGTTCTGAGTCATCTTTGAAAGTCCATAAATATCTCTGGTTAGTAAGTTAGATGAAACGTTAACAAAGGGGTTTCCCAGTAAAAAAACTGCCTAAGCTTCCATCTATCTTAGACTATTTTCAATGTGAAAAGTATTTCCTATGATCTGTTCTTTGATTGTAGGTATGTTTTTGGAATAATAACTCAAAATTAATAGTCAAACAAAAACTAAGTCCTCATAAAAAGATATGTTTCGAACTGGCTTTTGATATATTCATCTCTTAAGCAGACCTTACTGTCAGGAGCTTAGTTCCAAGACAACAAGGAAAATCACTTGTACCTATGCTTTCACCAGCTGCCAGTAGCCAGATTGTTGGCCCAGTAGACAGGCTAGACTTCTCCCAGGTGCCTGTGATCAGGGAAGGGAGCACTGCTTTAATGTTCCCCACAGATTATACCTCAGTTTGCACTACTGGCACAATTTGATGTTCTGGCTCCCCCAGGCCCTGGTGTTTACATGAGCAGAGTTTGAGATTGCCAGTCATCCCAGTGCCTCATGTCTCAAGACACATACTCCTTTCCTAGCTCCCAAAGAAGTTGGTCTCTTCCCTGTCTTTTAAGCTAAGACTATGGTCAAACTATATATCTTTTTAAACTAAAGAGACAGTATTACCCCACACTCAATAGTTCATTCATTCCTAGCCCTTCCTCATCCTGAAGAATAGTTTTGCATGTCATCTTTATTAAATAATACAACATTCTCTAAGCAATCACAGACCACTTGTAATGATATTAAAACCAACCAACTCCAGCTTCCAATCATTCCAGAAGTATCTCCAGAGCACTGTATGATACAACTATAAAAATAAGAATACTAACCTTTAGGAACAGCGGGAGAAGACTCAACAGGCTCCTCTGACGCTCATCTGGGCTCCTATGATCCAACTGCTGATATTCCAGAAACTTCTTTTCTACCTTCTCCCAGAGAGTTGTGAGGCCCTGGAACTGCTCTCCATGTGGGAAGTCAGGCTGAACAACATCAGGCTGGCCTTCATTTTTGGAACCTGGATCCTTAGCTCTGTCTTCAGACTTTGAAACATCTTCTGCCTCCATGCCTTAGCAAAGCAGCTCTAAATTCAGAACAAAAAAAAAATGAAAAGTCCTTTCACAGAACTTTCTGATGAATCTGGTTGTAGGGCAAGGTACTGTATGCACTCAGTCCAGTTCCTACTGAAGATGGTTCCTGTAAGAATCTGAAACCAACTAAAATAGGAAGACTTTGTAAAAAAAGAGATTCAGATTTACAGTTGCTCACAGATATTGACAATTTAACATGTGCTGGGCTTTTAACACAGACTTTTATGAGAGAGACATGTATTCTGAATTTCTCTACATGGTTAGCAAACCAACTGGGCCAAAGCTATAGGAACGGCTACATGTCCAGCTGAAATGCAAATCTTTAACAGCAAAGCCCATTTTCTTATTTCCTGGTGCTATACCTCTTTTAAAAGACTTAATAGGAGAGACATGTGGAAATCATCTTACCAATATTTGTAAAAGCAAGTAATTCTGTATATTCCATTATAACTTTCTTCTACCCCACAAGTCTAAAGATATAGGTTTTTCATTCTCAGCATTATTTGATTCACACTCAATATTTTTTAGAGGACTTTGTCCTCAAAATGACTTCCTAAACCTCCACGCTAACTTGGAAACCCTTCTCTATTAGTTCAATCAGTGCAGTTTGTGCAAGCTGGCGGCCTCGGGTCAGTAGGCATAAGGACAAAAACGTATGTGATTAAAATAGCCAAAGACTGATTTGCCAGATAGGTAAACCTGAGAAGGTACCTCTATCTTTGCCCTTGACTTTTTAATTTTCATAATATTTAGGTGGGTCATGACTGACTCAGCACAAGAAATGTTTCTTTAACGTTTATTTGTCAAGAGTTCGAGAAGCTCCAAGTAGGGACCAGACTGTCCAGGTTCTCTGAAAGAAGCCCTCTACCCCAACCATAGTGTCACGAGGTAGCAATCCATCCTGGAATCTGGCCAGCAAACAACGATCACTAACCACAAGATAGCAACCAGGCAGATGGACACATGCAGTGGGTTTAACAGTGTTTTGCTCTGGGCTGCAGCAATGGAGGGGGTGCACCCTGCTTTATTTTTAGCACAAACACACACACACACACACATACACACACACACGCACACCCCCCTTGCAGGCTGGAATGGGAATTAACTAAGGATCACATGACTGGACTAACCACCCCCTCCTTGAAACTTTCTCACTCTTTATATGCAAAATTCCATGCATCCCTGGCTTTTCTTCTATCATATATACTTATTACTCAAACTGATTTCTCAAACTCCATTTTCAGAAATCATTTTATTTTTACAAAAGCCATGTAAGTACAGTATTGAAAAGTGGGAAGGTGTCAGGAAGAACATCAAGCTTGCCTGTACCCAGAGAAATGACTGCTGATATTCCTGTTTCCATCTATGAATACACAGTTTAATAAAAACACACTAACAATATTATTAAGGCAAACTTTTTATTTATATTTTTTCTTTTTTTGGTTGGTTTGCTGGAGATTGGTGGGAGCTTATTTGTTTCCTTTTGGGGACTCACCCTTAGGGGCAGATGGTGGGGTGCCTCATGTTCCTCAGTCTCAGCATAGTCTCTTCTCTGACCTAGGCCAGTCTCCTTTCTGGCTTTGTCAGTTTATTCATGTATTCTTGGACCTCCATTGTCACTCCCATTCCCTTCTCCACCCCCCTGCCCACTGCACCTACTTGATAGCATGGGTTTCTATAAAACATGACCCAAATATGAGATTTCTGAATGCCTGCATTGGAAGGTGCCTGACTGACCTTCTGCATCTTTTCTACAGCTCAGTTTTTCACTCAGAATTATGTCTTCAGACCTAACTGTGCAGCTCTTTGTTGACTTCATTTCTTCTAACTGTTGTCTCCTAATACAAAGTGGCCAGGCATCAGGTGCTATTTGACTTGTTCACTCTGTAGTGATGATGGCTAGTTCCCAACAACATCCTGTACTGCTCTTGATCCTGTCCTGAAACTCCCATGCAGGTCTCCTCAGGTGCTGCATGTTTCTGGTTCTAGGTAGGAACACAGGAGCAGAAATGCTGAACAATGGTATATACCTGTTCAATTCAATGGTGTATCAGGAGCTAAGATGCCTCCAGAAACCTGGCAGCAGACCATACTCCAACCATGGAGCACATGACAGCTCCTCTACCATCTCATCCATACCCTTGCTTCCCACCACCCAATTTCTAATGTTTGCCAATCTGACTGGAGTAAAGTGATTCCTTGTCATTTTAATTTGCATTTCTCTAAGCTAATAATGAGTCTGAGCATCTGTATATGACTATTAGCCTTTCAGATTGCCTCTTTTGCAAACTGACTGTTCATAACCTCTACTTATTTTTTCTTGCCTATCTTACTTTTGTTGCTTTGCAGGAGTTTATTCTAGAAACTATTCCTATGTTGGTTTTTAAAATCGCAAATTCTTCTCTCAATCCATTTTTAATAAATTAGTTCAAAATTTTCTTTTTGTCACAAAATCATTATCATGAATATTTTCCATGTTGCTAAAGATCTTCATTTTTAATGGCTGTGTGATGGCTGTAGAGTCATATTGACCATTAATTTAACTAACCTCCTATACTTACACATTCAAGTGGTTTCCAATTATTTGTGACTATCGGCAACACTATAACAATAGGCTTTGTGTTATGGCTGGCCACATATTCATGATTAAATAACAGATTATAAAACATTTCTAAATTTCTGAAGGAAAATAGCTGGACCTAAAGGCAGGTAAATTTTCCAGGCTCTTGACACATTTCTAAACAGTTTCTCCAAACACCCTATCAGTGTACAATCCTACCAAGAGTGTACTGTTGGGAAATGCCCTGCCTGGTTTCAGGAGCTGTATCCCCTCCATGGCTAAGGCTGAGTGAATGACCTTTGGACCATAAGCCACTAAAAAGACAAAGCTTATCTCCCTGGCAGGAGCACCACTTTTGCTCCTTTTTTCATAACTGGCCCCCAGTGCTTGATCAGTTAGCCAATGATGGGTAAGATTCCCGAAGGAGGGAATGACCTAAGACAGGCATGGCATGATCATGTGGAGGCCCCAGGAAAGGACTTGGGAGCTATGGAGAAAGAGGATGGTGGACCTAGGCCCCTCGGTTTTAACGAAGCCTGAGTCCTCATTTCTCCTAATTCCTTGGCTATCTTGCCTCCTCTGCCTGACTTAAGCTTGAAACAATAACAGAGGGTGGTGCAACCCTGTACTGGAAAGGGTGGGCTCCCCGGGTGATCAGGCCTGAGAAAGAATATGTAAAATCCTGTGAAGCCTGCTTTGTTAAGAATGCTCTTAGTTAAATGATAAAGGCCCAAGCAGGAAATGAGTTTGTTTTCCAAAGTTTTGTAGCCCTTTAGCTAATAGAACCTGACTCAGAATAGGCCCTTGTAGTTCTTTGTATGTTATCTATTGTTTGATCCTTACTGCCTAAGAATGATTAATGAATTTTACCTGTATTCCTGTGCTAATTGAACCCAATAAAAACCTGTCTAGGCAAGGGTCAACGAGCTCTCCCCTTGAGGGAGTAGCAGTGCTGGCCCTTTTCCTCCACAGGACTCAGTAGTCCATGTGAATTTGTCTCATGTCTCATCCATGACCCCACGGGCACTGCAGGCTGGTGCCCGGGTCAGTGTACAAGAGTTTACATATCCTTAGTTACCATTTTTTAAACCTAGCTGATCTGGTAGGTAAAAAAATAAATGTATCTTTGTTGTTTCTTACTCATGTTTTGTTACAATGTGAGGAGCTGAGCATACTTCCGTCTGTCTGCAGCTCTGCCTCCTTCGGGAGGCCCAGCAGTGGCTTTCTAAGTCAGATCCTCTTTGACTGACCAATTTATTCAATGAACCATGTCCAAGGCCTCCCCAACATGCCACATTTTTAGGATAAGCGGTAAGAGGACAAGTTCAGCATCAGGTCAGAATGTGAAAATACAGTCCTGGGGACCTTTAGGAGATCTCAGCTCCTCCCCATGCTTTTAATTGCCTCTGGGAACCACATATGCACTAAATATTAGCTCTGTGAAGGAAAACCATTGTGCCTATGTCAGCAGTTGACACAGTGTAGATGCTCAATGAAATGTCATTAAATAAGACTTCCACCAAGATGGAGGCATAGGTAGAAACACTTTGCTTCCTTGCACAACCAAATCTAAAAACAACAAAGTTTTAACAACAATAAACGCAACCAAACCATAGAAAATCAAACAATGCGGAGTCCGAAAACAATGAAATGCTCAGCTAAACTGGTGAGAGGGGCTAAGCCAGCAGTGGAGTGGTCGGGCAAAAACAATCCCCCAAACCTGGTGGCATGCAAGCAGCCGAGGGCGAGGATCCCAGGTGTGGGGTAGCTATGGGAAGGTGTGGCGCAGCTGGCTGAGGGCTGGCTGCCTGAGTTCAGGCATTTGCTCACAGATGAACCAGTGAAGAGATGTGCATTGAGACAGACTGCACAGGCCCCGGCACAGGGCAGCGGGCTCCCACATTTGCACTCAGATAAACAGGCGGGGGCAAGCAGTGAGGTGGACCAGGCGAGTGCAGAGGACCGCCATTGCTCCCTCTCTGACCCCGCCCCCACATACAGCATCATAAACCAACGTCCTGGGGGGCCCCGCCCTGGTGAACATCTAAGGCTCCTTGCCTCATACATAGCAGGCATGAACAGATCAAAACATGGTTCAAGAACAACTCAGAGCCCCAGAGCCAATAAATCTAAGCAGTGAAGAAATAGCCAAACTCTCCGATGCACAGTTCAAAACACTGGTGATCAGGATGCTCACAGAACTGGTTGATTATACCCACAAATTAGACAAACATATGAAGGCGAAACTAATTGAAATGATTGGAAATGCACAGGAAACCAATAGTAATGGAAAGGAAACTTGGACTCAAATCAAGGGAGCAGAACAGAAGGAAGGAAAAGATGACCAAACAGAAAAATATTAAAAAAGAAGAATTCGAAACAATGAGGAGAGGCTAAGGAACCTCCAGGACATCTTTAAACGCTCCAACATCC